AAAAAAATCAATTTTTTATTTTTTTTATTTTATATATTTTTCGCCGGTTCGGGGTGGTTTCAAACCATAATAAAAATTCTCAAACCTAAACCAAACCGTTTTTGACCGGTTTGATTTGGTTCAAAATCATTTCGTTGACGAGTCCACGTAGCACCAAATTGCCGGTTTCGAAATTGCGGTTTCGATTCGATTTTCCGATTTGACAATTTTTGCTTACAACCCTATTCCAAGTAATAAAAAACCTGAACTGACCCCAAAACTTGATTGTTATCCGTTAGAACAACAACTAATTCATGCTTAAGATGTAACCATGAAATCTAAACCTTCCACAAATTCCAATTACAAACCACTCCGTAATATGAAGCCCCTAATGCCAAGAAAAGTAAACTAACCTAGAGAGCACTTTGAAGTCTTACAGTTGCATGGATTTGAAAAAGATTAGGCGAACTTTATGCAATTTTACTGCCAAAATTATCATATTTTGACCATTAGGATCAAATTACGGCTAGTTTCCAGGAGACCAAGTAACCAAACGCATAAGAATAGTAAATTTCAACATCAAATTCAAAGATGAAACAACATGCTGTCAAATAATTCAGCTAATATTTTAGTAAAACTGGTCTGCTAGATGTGAACTTAACATAACAAAACAAATAAAAGACATTTCAGTTTCCTTGAAAGCACGCCTAGAAAAGAGAGGTTCCCTTTCCTTTCTTGTCTCCACCAATCTCAAAGTGCTTGCACCTCTGCAAGACCAATGATGACAATACAATTGTTAAGTATTCCATGCCGATAGATGATAATACAAGATGTAAATCTAAAAAACCAACCTTAATTGGATGCTGGGATACATGCTTGCAGCCCTGGCATTGCAACCTTAGCACAATCTTCTTTGTTGTTTTTGCCTGGGGCGCAAAGACAAGAATAAAACATTAGTTTACTAAAAATTTGGACTCAATCTCTACTAACAAAATAACAACAGAGAGACATGAATCAGTTTTAAAAAATCTCTTTATTAGGTTGTTATAATATCTTCTTTATTTAAATTGTGTTGGTGATGGTAATTTTAGTCTCCTCGTTGAAATAATTTCGGGTGTAATCAAGATTATTAGTTTGCAATCAGTATTTACCTTCTTGTG